ATAGCCAAGTTATGGAAACAGCCAAGATGCCCCACCACTGACGAATGGATTAAGAAAGTGTGGTATCTATACACAATGGAATTCTATGCAGCCATGAAGAAGAATGAAATGTTATCATTCGCTGGTAAATGGATGGAATTGGAGAACATCATTCTGAGTGAGGTTAGCCTGGCCCAAAAGACCAAAAATCGTATGTTTTCCCTCATATGTGGACATTAGATCAAGGGCAAACACAACAAGGGGATTGGACTTTGAGTACATGATAAAAGCTTTAGCACACAAGGGAGGGGTGAGGATAAGTAAGACACCTAAAAAACTAGCTAGCATTTGTTGCGCTTAACGCAGAGAAACTAAAGCAGATACCTTAAAAGCAACTGAGGCCAATAGGAGAAGGGGACCAGGAACTAGAGAAAAGGTTAGATCAAAAAGAATTAACCTAGAAGGTAACACACATGCACAGGAAATCAATGTGAGTCAACTCCCTGTATAGCTATCCTTATCTCAACCAACAAAAACCCTTGTTCCTTCCTATTATGGCTTATACTCTCTCTACAACAAAATTAGAAATAAGGGCAAAATAGTTTCTGCTGGGTATTGAGGTGGTGGGGGGGAGAGGGAGAGGGCGGAGTGGGTGGTAAGGGAGGGGGTGGGGGCAGGGGGAAGAAATGACCCATTCATATGCACATATGAATAATAAAAATAAATAAATAAAATAAAATAAAATAAACACCCGTCAGGAACCACTTGAAGAGGCATTCTGCTGGCCAAAGATGAGATGATTTGAGCACCAATAAGGATAAGAAATGCAGTGGGTTGAAACGCGTCAAATATGTTTAAATTCGTGAGTTCATAATGGTACTAAAAATTCAGTCAGTTTTGGAGGATGCTAGAGAACCACCAACTTATTATTCAGGGTAATCACAGTTGATGAAAGGAACTTATCTGACTGAAAGTATTATAACTAATGAAGATAGAAGTATAGCCCTTAAGGAATGAATGAAATGTATCTAAGTAGTGGCTGCACACATTCCAAATAGAGATAGATAACCGGGCATTACATAGCTCTTGATGGAAATGGGAAATAGTATAACAACAATAGCAACAACAAAAAACCTCCAAAAACAATGGCACCTAAATCTGAACAGACCTTTAGAATTACTTTCAATTTATATAAAGCATGGAGGACAGAGGAACACTTTCAGTGGCATCTTGGGGATTCATTTGGTAAAGCCTGTAGTCCATGTATCAGTGACATAGCATCATCCATGGCTTTTTAGAAATGGAGAAACTCAGGCCCCATGCCCCAGATGATTCACATGTATGTTTAAAGTTTGAGTAGTGCTGCTTTACAGGACCTATAATCCAGAATCTTCCACAAAAAAATTGTAAAGAAAAAAATTCTATGGAAGGGAAACCTGTAGAGATGTAGGAAGCATGTCAGTCGTTCACAGTTTCAGATATTTGGATCTCATTCAGAAAACACGAATTTAAAATTTTTGAAATAATTGGGGGTAATATCTTGGATCTTCAAAATAAACTGAGAGATAGAGGAAACTAGGTGGGGATTTAAATGAATAGGATTGGTTATGATGTGAATTGTTGAAGCTGATAAGTACAGGAGATTCACTATTTCCATTTTGTAGTTTTAAAGTTCTTTTCTATAATAGCTAAAAGTGAGTGTGTGGAGGGTGTAGGATGGCTATAATCAAAAAGACATCTAATAAGTGTTGGTGAGGATGTGGGAAAAATTGAAACCCTTGTACATTGCTGGTGGGAGTATAAAATGGTATGACTGCTTTGGAGAAAAGTCTTGACAGTTCCTGAAAAGACTGAACAGAGGCAACCTCACTCCTAGATATATATCCAAGAGAAATTAAAACATGTATTCATACAGAAACTTATGCATAAATTGTCACAGCAGCATTTTTCATAATAGTAAAAAAATAGAAACAGCCCAAACTGATGAGTGAATATATAAAATGTGGTATGTCATACAATGGGATACTATTTGGTAATAAAAAGGAATGAAATACTAATACATACCCAGAATAGATGAACCTTGAAATCATTATGCTGAGTGAAAGATGGCAGTCACAAAAGACTTTGTATTATTCCTTTATGTGCAACGTCCAGAATAGGTAAATCTGTAGAGATAGAATGTAGAGTAGTGGTTGCCAGGGTCTTGGGGGAGGTTTTGGGGGAAATAGGGAAGTATTACTCATGATAGGGCTTTCTTTTTGGGGTGACAAAATATTCTAAAATTGTGGTCATGGTTGTTTAATTCTATGCATCTACTAAAATCATTGAATTAATTGTCCATTTTAACTGGTGAATTGTATGATATGCAAGTTAGTAGCTCAGAAAAGTGGTTATGAAAAAAGGAGACTGGATATTATACAAATACCCATGCTATGGGCTTTACTCTAGAGTAATAACAATTTTTGGGACGAGGTTGCCTAGGTGATTCTAATACTCACCAGGCTTGAGAAACACTGAATTAGAGAGGTAACTGTTAAGGGTTGTTAGAAGAGAGAAGGAAGATTTGTCTATCTGAAATGGTAGTTTGGAAGAGAAGCCTCAGGGATGATATCATAATAGACCTAAAGGAGGCAAAAATCTTGCAGGGAGAAACCTGTCTGAGTATAATCTATTGCTGCAGTATTTATTAGAATACAATTAAACACAGGAAATCCTTTCTGTTCTCCTAAGAAGGCTGTTAGTTTAGGATTAGAAGTCTTGAGTTACATTCATAGGTATTACATGTGTTGCCAGTGTTCTAGCTTCTTCTAAGTTACTCATAGTGAACACATACTTTGTCAGATATTTTTTGATAAATCATAATTTAAAAACAACAATCAAGAAAATGTGGTGTCTATACACAATGGAATTTTATGCAGCCATGAAGAAGAATGAAATGTTATCATTCGCTGGTAAATGGATGGAATTGGAGAACATCATTCTGAGTGAGGTTAGCCTGGCCCAAAAGACCAAAAATCGTATGTTCTCCCTCTTATGTGGACATTAGATCAAGGGCAAACACAACAAGGGGATTGAACTTTGATCACAAGATAAAAGCGAGTGCACACAAGAGAGATATGAGGATGGGTAAGACACCTAAAAAATTAGGTAGCATTTGTTGCCCTCAATGCAGAGAAACTAAAGCAGATACCTTAAAAGCAACTGAGGCCAATAGGAGAAGGGGACCAGGAACTAGAGAAAAGGTTAGATCAAAAAGAATTAACCTAGAAGGTAACACACATGCACAGGAAAAATAAATAAATAAATAAAAATAAAAACAACATTCGCTGGGCACTGGTGGCTCGTGCCTATGATCCTAGCTACTCAGGAGGCAGAGATCAGGAGGATTGAGGTAAGAAGCCAGCCCAGGCAAATAATTTGTGAGACCCTATCTCAAAAAACCTTTCACAAAAATAGAGCTAGTGGAATGGCTCAAGGTGAAGGCCCTGAGTTCAAGTCCCAGTACCACAAAAAAGAAATCTAAAAAATTAAGCTAGGTTGGGCACCAGTGGTTTACTCCTATAATCCTAGCTTCTTGGGAGGCTGAGATTGGGAGGATCACGGTTCAAAGCCAGCCCAAGCTAATAGTTCGTGAGACCCCCCCTCCTACCCCCCAATCTCCAAAATAACCAGAGCAAAATGGGCTGGAGGTGTGACTCAAATGGTAGAGTGCTTGTTTTGAAGCCCTGAGTTCAAATCCCAGTCCTAACAATAACAACAAAAATTTACCTAGCCGAGTATAGGTGGCAGCATATGCCTGTAATCCCAGCCCTTGGGCTACATAACAAGACCCTGTGCCTCAAAAAATTTTTTTGTAAGAAACTAATTTCCCCAAGTTTCTTTCTTCCATGGTTGTAGATGTTAGTGAAAAATAAATTTTTTTTTGGAGACAAGGTGTCATTATGTAGCCTAGACTGGCCTCATAATCCTCCTGCCTGAGCCTCCTAAATGCTGTGCATACCACCACCATACCCATCTTTCTTTCTTTCTTTCTTTTTTATTGCAGTACTGGGGTTTGAACTCAGCACCTCACATTTGCTATGCAGGTGTTCTTCCACTTGAGCCATGCTCTACTCCCTTTGTTTTTTTTAAAAAAGTGTTCATTGTTATGTTGCTCAAATGAGTAGAAATGAAGTTGGCTACATTTATTCCCACTTATCCTCAAAAGCGTTTGTTGGTTAGATAACACCCTCTTATATTATTGGCTGGTCAGCAAAGAGGAAATTTGAAGATGTTCAGCATGATATTTGGCTTCTGATGATAAGTTGTAGAGAACTGGCCTTGGGTTCTGGTTGGACAGCTCTTGAGCAGATCATTGTCCACCCTGGACCTTTAATTTCCTCAACTAATGAATGGAGTTTGGACTCAGTATTTCCAGAATTTCTAAAATTTTATGCTTTACTGTATCTGTCTTTTCAAAGGTTGTAAATAGAGAATGGTAGTTAAGAGGTTGGATATCCTCTTTGCACCTTATTTTCTCCATTTATAAAATGGGGAAGAGTGAGGACTGGAGGGAATGGCTCAAGTGGTAGAGTGCTCAGGGCCCTGGGTTCAATCCTGAGTACCACTTAAAAAAAAAATGGCCGTAAATAATTACATCTACCTCATGGGTTTCATTATTATGTATAAACTGTTTGGAACTCCCTATCCTATGGTGGTATTATTGTTTTATTTAGATGATGCCCTTTTACTAATTCAGTCATGATTAGCACTCAGATCTCTCGTACTACCTAATACAGTGTTGTATCTGTTATTCCAGGTGACAGGTCTTTATGGAATGGTATGAAATAGCATATGAGAGTATTCAGACAGTAGATAGGAAATTTTACAGTCAGATTTCACTACCACTATGCTCCTTTTCCCTTCCCTGCTACTACACCAAGATAGTAAGTTTTAAATAAAAACTGTACTCCAGTATTTTATGAAATCCTATTCCTAATTTTTCTCCTCACTTTTGTCTTCCTGTTCTATACCCCATTTAGGTCAGTTCTTCTTGGGTCTCGGGGACTTGATATATCCCACATCTCCCAGAGATTGGAGAGTCTGAGTGCAGCCACCACCTTTGAGCCTCTTGAGCCTGTGAAGGACACAGACATTCAGGTAAGGGCTACCCAGGTGCAGGTGGAACCCTGAGCCATGTAACCCAGGGTGAAGGCTGTGACCCTTTGTGTAACACGGATGTAGAAATTACAGTTTTCTTTGTTAATTTTCTTCTCTAGATATTACAAGAACAGGAGACCTAGGTTTGGAGGTAATGTGGGAGGGTATTGGGCTATTTTCAGAGTGCTCTGTGTGGGTGAATTTAAGAACGCATTTCTAACCTGCACTTTTTAGAATAATTCTAATTACAAGAACAGATTTCTTTTCCTTGCTTGGGCTTAATCCAAGGCACAGACATTAGTTATAAGTTTCTCTTGCTGTCTTTACTAGAACTCAAATAATTTTACTATTCGTGTAGCTCATTTCTGTTTTACATCTTACTTGTATTGGTTGACAAAAAGCTGGGGAAAACTTAGAGTGCTTTTATGCTGTAACCTACTCAGTGCTTTCTAGGAAGTATTGGGCTACATGAGTGGTACAAGGAAAGCATCTGATAGAGCACTCCAGTCTCATTTAATCTAACATGCCACTAGCAGTTATTAGCTGTTTTCATCTCATCAGATACTGATAGAAAATGGTTAAAGAAAAACCTCATGATGCATTTAGATTATTTTATTTTATTATTATTATTATTATTATTATTGATGGTACTGGTGTTTGAACTCAGGGCTTCCCCACTTGCTAGGCAAGTGCTCCATCACTTGAGTCATACCCCCTCCAGTTTTGCTTTGGTTTGTTTTTCAGATAGAGTTTCATGCCTTTGTCTGGCAGTCAATTCTCCTACCTTAGTCTCCTGGGTAGTGGGGATTATAGACCAGTACCACTGTGCCTGGCTTGTTTTTGAGATAGCGGCTCACTAATTTTTTTTTTTTTTCCCAGATTAGCTTTGAGCCATTATCCTTCTATTTCTGCCTCCCAAGTAGCTAGAATTATACCACCATGCCTGATTTTGATTTAGTTTTGAGGAACTAGTACATTACATTTGTGTTAGAATGAAGGGACCACTGGTCACTATTTTTTTTCTCCTCCTCCCTCCTTCCCTCCCTCCCTTCTTCCTTTCCTCTCTGCTTGCCTCCCTTCCCCATCTCCTTTCTTCCCCGTCTCCTTTCTTCCCCCCCACCCCCCTTTGATTTGTGAGAAGATACCTCACTTTGTTGTCCAGGTTGACCTCCAGGACTCAAGTGATCCTCTTGCCATAGACTCCTGAGTAGCTGGGCTTCACAGCATACCACCACATCTGCTGATTTACCTTTGAATTGAAAGGACTCAGATCCTGCAAAGGCAAGCCCCAGGAGAAATGGATTGTTCTTTAGGCTCAATTTGAATTAATACTCTACCCCACTACCTTTTTCAAGAGCCATTTTGGACAATCTAATGCCTGCATTTCTACTTCATTTATCCTTTTTAATTTTTTTTTTTAAATTTGGTAGTATGAGGGTTTAAATTCAGGGCCTTGAACTTGCTAGGCAGGTCCTGTACCATTTGAGCCACATTCTCAGCCTCTACTGCACTTCTTCTAATTTGGAAATCTATACTTTGAGTCGAGAGTTGAAATTACAGATATTTATAATTTTCCAGGGATGATTTTTTTTTTAGTGAAAGTGATAATAAAGTTTATTAGGAAAAGAATACACTTTCAATAGACTGAAAGTGGGTTATATCTAGAGAGTGACTGAGAATGAGCAATTTTCCAGTTATGGAAAAAATTTTCCGAAGAGTGGAAATGAAAATCCAGTGGGTTTTTTTGTTTGTATGTTTTATATGCTAAATTGTATTTGCCTGTCAGTTTATAGATGCCTTGTTATTTCCATGTAATCTTTTTTTACATTTTTATTAGCATACATTAGTTGTACAAGGAGGAGGTTTCATTGTGAGATTTTCATATTTGCAAACAGTGTATCCATGTAATTTGTTTGTTTGTTTGTTTGGTGAGTCTGGGATTTTAACTCAGGGCTTTGTGTTTGCAAAGCCGGTGCTCTACCGCTTGGGCACACCGGTTATTTTGGAAATGGCGGGGGGCGGGTCTCTCAAACTGTTTCCTTGGGCTGGCCTTCAACCACAATCCTCCTGATCTTAGCTGCCCAAGTGTTGTTTGTTTTATAAAGACAGAGTCTCTTCATTACCCTGGCTGCCCTTGAATCTTCCTGCTCAGCCTCCCAAGTACTGGGATTGCAGGTGTGACCACTACACCCTGCTTTAGAGCTGCTAATTTTAGTTGTGCTGTTGACTTTATCTTTTGGAAAAAGGCTTGAAGGAAAAATATGTAGCTTTGGTCTAAAAGTCAGAGCCTTTGATGATATTAGCTGACTCAAATTTATCAATAGGAATTGGAAGTTTTAAGTTGTGCCTTGTGATTTAGTTGACCTATGTTTAAACTTCCTATATACTTACTCAGTAGTAGCTTGTTCTTGCCTTACTTGTGTAGTGACCAAGTGTAGGAGACAAATCAGCTCATTCCCTTAGCACTGAGTGGGCCTTCTTTTAATTCGTCTCATAATGTATTGGTTATCCAAGAAGAGTAAAACTGGACATTTTGTTACTTTTCTTTAGAAAAGCCAGATATACTATCTGATTGTCTATTTTTTCATATTTTTAATGTGTGTGTGTGTTTGGTACTGGAGTTTGAACTCAAGGCCTCACACTTTCTAGGCAGGCTCCCTTGCAGCTTCAGCCACTCTGTCAGCCCTTTTTTTTGTGGTGGATTTGTTTTTCAAGATAGGGTCTTGCAAACTATTTGCCTGGGGCTGGCTTGGAACTTTGATCCTCCTCATCTCTGCCTCCTGAGTAGATAGGTTTACAGGCGTGAGCTACTGGTGCCTGGCTCATTTATTTTTATAGCTTTATGAGATAGAATTTATATATCATGAATCAAATGGTCTTTTGTTGTTGTGAACTGTTGTTTTTCAACTAGTGCATTTTTTGAGGTTAGAATACACCCTAATCCCATGTGTCAAATATTAGAGTGAAATTATTATGTCAGTTTATAAGATCATTAAGATACTGTTTGTGAAAGGACAGATTTTATTCAGGACTTTTACTGTTCATTGTTTGCGTTACTTATAAGCTTGAAAAAGCATTTTTCCCATGTATAGAGTATCCTTGTATATTTGGTAAACATGGGTTATGTTTTCTGTTTCTAATGGCGTTTGAAATTAATATGGGTTTTTGTTGTTACTGCTTTATTGTTTGTCATTACCAATGATGTTGCCATGCCTTGGAATACATTTTTTTAAAAGTTGCTGTGGCCAGCAGCAATAATATGTTTTAAAACCCACTTAAATATACATGTGGATGATACTGGTAGAATTTTTTAAAAATGTTTATTGATTTTATTTTTTGGAAATGATCATAAAGAAGTGCTATAATTTTGTGTGATGGTGGTGAATGAAGAGCAGTAACATAGAGGACATACTTCTAAAATGACTACTGATCTATTCGAAATGACCTTATGGTACTTGGGTACAGTGCATCTTATAGAGATCCATTTGTTCATTTTTGTCTTTGAAGAAAAAAATGTTAAGGGCACATTCCATATCTTTACAATGATCTGAGCAGACCTGTTATACTGTAGATGAGATGTGTTATATAATAATAAAGTACAGTTATATTCTGGGCTTTTTCACTAGATTACATGTATATTTTAAGAAAGCTATGCAGAAATGTTTGAGTAGGTCATAAAAAATGGGAGCTGAAAATTCCCAGCATTAAGCTGTATTTCCAAATGGCATTAGACCAAGCACTGATATTATTGCTAACCTTAATATATGTGATTCCTTGGGGTACTGCAACAAATTACCACAAACTTGATGGCCTAAAGCAAATTATTCTCTCACAGTTTTGGAGCCCAAAAATTTTAAATCAAGCTGTTAGAAGCACCGTACTCTCTCTATCAGCTTCAGGAGACAATCCTTCCCCCAGCTTATGGTAACTTTTGATACTCCTTGACTTGCAGCATAATTCCAATTTCTTCTTCTATCTTCACAGGTTTTTCCTGTGTCAAATCTACCTTTCCTGTCTCTTGAAAGGATGCTGGTTGTTAAATTTAGGACTCACGCTAAACCCAGGATGATTTTATCTTGAGATCCTTAACTTAGTTACATTTGTAGGACCCCATTTCCAGTTAAGGTCACATTTACAAGTACTAGGGGCTAGGGCTTGGACATATATTTTTGGGTTACGTACTTTCACCTACTATACTTCTAGCACAAGAAAATTTAAAACTGACCAACTTAATGTAATATCTTCAAATTAACTCAATTTCACAGCTGTATGGATTGTAGATAGTAAGCTAATGTATTTATTGCTTATTGCCCCAGTGACTGCATGGGGCTGAGTACCAATATCTAATTCCAGATTCAGTAATAGTTACTTTCTCTAAACAGGTGAACAAACAATCTGTAATGTTTTTGAGAAGTTTCTGTAGAGATGTTTTTAATTAGAAATAGCCTACTTTCTATAAAGTACTAAACATGTAGGTTTTTGGGTAACTATTTTTATTTTTATTTTTTTGGCAGCACTGGGGAGTAAACTCAGGGCCTTGAGCTTGCTAGGCAAGGATTCTACCACTTGATCCGTGCCCCCAGTCCGAGGGTAATAGGTAGGATTAAATGGTGATACTTCTCAAGGTTGGAGACGATGCCTTATTTATATACATATATTCTGTGCCACACAGGTTGCCCACCCATTTCTTTTTTCTTTTATAGTTTAGACTTTTGCTCACCACCTTCCCTTAGCTTGAAGTAGCCCTTGTGGCATGTCTGAACCCTAATTTCAGTATACAATGCTAAGGTGTCCCTTAGATGCCGCCTCTTCCATAGCCTTCCCATCTCCATTTCCTATAGCCTCCAGATACAGTGTGTTAGCTTTATTGCTTAGGAAGGGGTCTTTCTGAATAGTACCTCACAAAGTAAACAGAAGTCTAGGTTATGTTGTTGGAATTGATGAAGCCAGTTTTCATCATAGGTAAGTGAAAATTTAGCACCTTCTACCAAAAAGACACA